AAACTAAATTAAAAACGTACACAAATTACATTGTTAATTTATTTCTTTATCAAACATAGGCTTAACTAATGTTAGGCATAAATCAAATATCGGTGGCTGCGATTAAAATTATTTTGTATTATTCAAGAAATCCTGTATTTATCGAAGTACTGTTGCAATAAAGATAATAATTTGACCTCAAAAGTTTTGTGGGTCTCTGCTGGTTTTTATTTAACTTCACGTCCTGTCCTTGATACTTTAGGTCACAGAGCATGACCATCATATGTCGCTACTGAAAATGAATTCAAACAAAAACATAAAACTGAGATTGCTAGAACCAATATTTACGATTTATGTATTTTTGAAAAGAGCTTAAACTGACCTTTAGTAACAACGGTCAAAACAATGCTGGTTATTAGTAACATTGAGAGTGTCTGTAAACATGCCGCCAGCTGAACGTTATCATAATAAGAAATAGACAATAATTCTATAAAATATACGGTGTCACCTCTTGATAACGTAAACGCGATTAACCTAGAGTCAAATTAAGCAACATGCTTAAAACGGTCAAATCAACGGTCCTCAAACTACCTGGTGTATTTAAGATAACATAACCTACTTCAAGTAAGAATTTAAAACATAAGGAACTGTTCTACGTTCAGAGGATCTTGGGAACTTACTGACTTCTACGTCCAGAGGATCTTGTGAACTTACTGACTTCTGTGTGGGGTCATGTTGTGTCCTTGATTTAACAACAGACAATTCGGGTTTCAGCGTATTCTCTCCGCAAAGTCATTATGTCTTCTGATCAGGGCGTCTGTTGTGTGTAATGTCATGTTTAGTGAGCAACTGGTAAGGGCGTTTTTTTTTCGGTATGGTAGACTCTGTATCTTAGACGCAATGAGATTTTGATATCAACATCCAATTTAACTAAGATTTTTCAGCACTAGCAAACTTGCGGTTTTGATATCAAAGTTGTTAATTATGATAAGTATAATATGTCTATAAAAGTTAGTTACTATGAAAAGTATAGCATGTTTGTTTATAAAAGTTCAACTAAAGCTACTTGACAGCGGTAAGTCTATGGAATTACAACGCTTAATTCCGGGGTTCGATTTCCCCAGAGTGGACACTGCAAATAGCCAATGTGGCTTTGGTTTAAAACAAACAATAAATCAATTAAAAGGCACGCTTATTTTCACCAGAAGTAGTTTTTTCATTAAAAAAAAATGCTGGTTATATTTTACAGGGGCGTTTTACGTGGGGCCATTATAATGTGACGGTCAATCCCATTATTCGTTGGTAAAAGAGTAGCCCAAGAGTTGACAGTGGGTGGTGATGACTAGCTGCCTTCCCTCTAGTCTTACACTGCTAAATTAGGGACGGCTAGCACAGATAGCTCTCGTGTAGCTTTGCGCGAAATTCAAAACAAACAAACAAACAAATCATGACTACAGAGTAGCTCTCATTGTTTACAAATGGAATGGACAATTATACAAGTGGTATCCGAAATATTCCAATTTATTTCAACGTTTATTAGCTAAGTTTTTAGAAAGATCTTTGTCAGCTGTACGTATTCCCTTTGTGTATTATTTCAGCATACCATTATTGCTTAATATTATAACAGATGCTATGATAAAGAGCGGGCAGGGGAATCAACAAAGAAACTACATAATGATATTACTTCAAAAGGTTTTTCGTGGAACAAAACTTGAATATAGCTTTTATATACGGAAACATCTGTTAGCTGAGTTTTTGCACAGATCTTAAAATATAACGTTGATAAACGGAAACATCGGCACGTGTAGATATGTAGATCTTGAAAGTCGAGTTGTTCAAAACTTAAAAATAGCGTTGATAATTGGACCAATTGTTGGTTGAGATGTTGCAAAGTAAATATCTGCTGAAGCTTTTCGTCAGACACTAATTATAGCAGAACCGTCTGGAAAATGATCTATAGGACAACTACATGGATAGCATGTTTGAAAGTATGGACAATGGTCTGTCACCCTTTCATCTCCATATTTTGGAAGCCACCTTTATTAAAACACATAAACTTGTCCTTTGCCGCCAAAATGAATTCCTATACAATCTACACATCCTTTAGTAGATCTGTGACACGTCCTGATTGGCTAAAGGACACACTAATCAATGGTTGCTTTACCGGCTTACGTTGATCTGACTCATTTTATAAGCTTTACTATTATAATGTGACGGTAAATCCCACTGTTCGTTGGTAAAAGAGTAGCCCAAGAGTTGGCGGGGGGGTGGTGATGACTAGCTGCCTTCTCTCTAGTCTTTTACTGCTAAATTATGGACGGCTAGCGCAGATAGCCCTCGTGTAACTTTTTGCGAGATTGAAAAACAAATAAACAAACTTTGTCGAACTGGTGTATTTAAGTATTTTACACTCACCAATCATTCTAGAAGTTTCTGTTTTGTGAGTGTAAAACACTTAAATACACCAGTTCGATTTTCGATATCTCACTACTATAAAGGTTTAGTTTGGTCTGATATTTCATTGGTGGTAGTGCCCAGGGTCACTGATGAGGAGTGGAATTCACCGAAACTAGTCTGGCTCACCCCCAATTAAAGAATAGACCATTCCAAGTTTTTACTTGTTGTTAAACAAATATTTAAACAATTCTGTTTATTCAAACAAACTTAGTATTTTAGTGCATTCTCTACACTTCCTGCTGCGCAATGTTACATGCTAGAAGGAATATAAAGCATAATTTGATCATTCAGCTCTTCTACAAGTCCACGTCTGAAAGGACTTGGGAAATCTTAAAACCGGGTGGTGCATGTAAATATTAAGTACTACTATTATGACTTTAGGTAGCTATTGCTATATCATATTACAGTTTAACTGCTTAAATTATATCAGAGAAATAAAAACCTTAATTTTTACTCGTATATTTCTTCTAGTTAGTTATAAATTTTGCTCGTTTTTTCACACACAACATGCGCGTGCGTTTAGGTACGTGTGTGTAGGGTGAGAGAGAACAATAACTCAATTGTCTTAGCTGCCATTTCAAAACTAGTCTCTTTGTTATCACTACCATCTGGCTGAAGAACCTAATTATGGCAGTCTTCATACACGACCGAATATTTTCAAACATCTACCTTCATTCATTTTGGTAAAACGTTCTTTGTTGTTTGAATTTTTGTATAACGCTATTCAAGACTTGTCTGTGTTTGAACTTTCATATAACGCTATTTAAGACTTGTCTGCGCTGGTCGCCCATAATTTTGATGGTCAAAACCACCTATCTCAAGAGCTACTCTGCCACTAATATAACATATCTACGGCCCCAAAGTAAGGAGCACGATTTCTTTTGGGCGGCGAAGAGAGTGGGGGCTAACCACAGAACCTTACTACAAATAACTTGTAGTTTTTGTTTCTAGCAGTATTTTTAGCTCTTTTTAATTTAGGTATAAAATGTTTATTTATTAATACTGGACCTTCTTTGTAATTTACATTAATGTCCAGATGTTTTACTCACTTTCTTCACTTGTTGCAACCATTTGTTTTTAAGTTGTCTGTTCAAATATTAAATGATAGTTGGTCTGGTTGCTTTCTTCATATATCCTCTATAACAGATTTTAATATATTCGTCTTTCATGTTGATACTAGCGTGGATAATGTGTGATAGGGTACTATTGAGTGGGTGCCTTCCTTCTGGTCAGTAGTTCAAATTTATTAACTGTAGCTTTGCGCTACCATCACTAGGAGTAAAAACCTACTTGACAAGCTGGTAGTTTAACAAGGAAAAGGTTTAACTTCTAATCCATGAGTGTGGTATGAAAACTTTGCATTAACGCCGGCTAACCCTTTATGTCTATTTAACAAGGAATTATTTATTTTAGAGTATAACATTTCTATCGATTCTCTAATGTTCGATTCACTTTGAGGTTCAATTAAAGTTGTTGAGTCTTGCAATTGTACTGTATGACCGGTTTCAATAATATATTCGGCAACATCTGTTTTTTTTATGCTTCGTACATAACCTTTATGTTCATTAAGACCAATATATATCTTTGATGATTCACATCTAATTTGATTTGTACCTTTTTTTATTCAAAATGTCTTTTTTATCTTTAGTGCTAAAAAGTATTGTTTTAACTTTGTTAAATGTTTAAAAAATAGGAAAAATATTATGTTTTCTGAATACCTTGTTTATATATGTGTAATGTTACTGTACTATTAATTTTATTATCCTAGACATTGTTTAAGTTAGTACATTGCTTGATAAAAACTGTATTTTTGTATTATACATTCAATTACATCAACATTATAACCTCTATCATTAGCAATGATTTTTATATAATTCAATTCATGTTCCAAATTAGTAGAATCAGAACAAATCATAAATACTCTGTTTATATACATATATATATATATATGGGTGATATAATGTTTGAATATTGGATTAGCCATTGGTTTCCCTTTTTATCCACACTTATGTGACCTTTATATGGATATTTTCGAACATTATACTATTGATAACGCTTCTTAAGAACCCAATTGTTGGATTAGATTTGTTATTGACACGTTCTTGGTTTGGCAGCATTGAGATACTGAATTTGTTGACTACACAGGCCTGCGAATTTAAACTTCATGAAAGTTGTTTTGATTTTAATAACGCATCTTCCATAATATATATATTTTTTGACGTACTTGTTAAAACAGATAATAATAGAACTGTTTCCACAACTGTTTATGGGAAACTATATTCAGTCTCTACGCTGCCACATCTGATCTAATCTACAACACTTTCATTCCCTACTGAAACATCTTATTGTGGCACAACTTGTAACTATGACATTACGAACTATCCGCCCCATTTTTCGACCCTAGCAATACGCTCTCTGAAGCGTGTTCATGATACTATCACGTCATGTGATTTCCTGATCTCAAGCTCCTCCTCTTTTGCCTTTGGCAGCCAATCAGTGTGTGCGTCTCAAGTGTCATGATAACTACTTGCTTATAATAACAGTTAAATCAGTAATTTCTAGTCGTGTACGAGAGAGGTTTGATGTAGTTTGAACACTCAAGTAAGGTCGTAAGTATAAAAGAGGGCATGAAAATTGAACTGAATCAAACGGACGCAGTAATGGTTCTCAAACTGATTCCTTACAGGAAACTGTCTTAAAGGAATTCTTCTTATAATTTTTAGTTCTAAGTCAGATCTGGCACTAAGATGAAATATATTTCATAATATTTTCTCAGTGTCTTTTACTAAAAGGTATAACATGCATTCTAAGTATACCGTTATGTTTGATGTTACAGTCTTGACCAGTATGTACCGAAGGATGCAATCATGTAAAAGGTTAAAACTTTAGGCCCATAACTCGTTAGGGTAAACCTTTCAGAAGGTGATTTCAATAATCTGAACCTATCTCAAATGGCTTCAAAACATTTCTTCTGACGCTTTAAACAGAGCAACAAGTTCAAAACCATTTTAATCTTATCAATATCTAAAGAAGAAAAGGCCTTGGGTTTTCATTCAGAGTTTTAGGTGTTGCAAAGAATAAGGTTCCAATTTCGGTTACTTTTCATCAAAGAACACTTTATATAAGATCATAAGAATAGTTAAACTCGAATTTTTTTGTGAAATGGCTTCCCAAACAAGACATTACACGTAAAAAACTGCTTATTCTTAACCCTAGTTTTGTTGTTTAAAAGTCATCTACATTAACGTAACACAATATCCAAAATTACTTTCCCTAGCAAATGGACAACGTTCTTCGCCAACCAATTCTAGCTACTGTTGTCCAGAATTAGTTTTTCTTAGCTCACCATACTTTATTCGTATTCTTCTTTCACCCCTCGTCCATATAGAGCTTTCAGTCCGAGGACCTGTAGCTTAGCAACATGGAGTACACAGCTTTAAACTCGCCATCTGAAGAAAACATCTACTTGGACATAACCATGAACGAACTGGCCTGTAAAGTTACAGAAGATAAAGTAAGGAACCCTAAATTAAGTATATTATATTTCAGCTGAACATAATATTTTGTGAATAATATAACACAGATGTGGATTAAATTTTTATTATTTCAGATTCTATATCTTGCTGCACTTAAATTTCTAGGAGCTGAGGAACTGGCCAGGAAGTAAAAATGTACTTATCGTCGATAAAAAAAAAATGGTCTTTTAGCAATACATGCAAAAATAAATTCTAACCATTATCATAAGTTCCAAGAGTTTCAAACTTGATATAAGAAGTATAAGAACCTTGGGACATTTAGAATTAAGATATTAAGATTTTTTGAGGAAAAAAATGTATCAAAACAAGCGTAATAAACATCTTTCAGTTCATCGTCGGATAAATAATTTTTTAAACAGTAAAATCTTACTGTTGATGAATTTAATTTCTTTTTCTAATAACGTAATGTGTTCTTTCTAATTTACTTTATTACCTAATAATACTCCAAGATAATTACTACTTTTTGTAGAATTTAATTATTATTTATATTATTCTTAATAGATAAATATTTACAAATGAATTTATATGAACTATTACTTTTATACATAGTTTTACCTTTTGAATTAAATTTTAGGGCTGGGGTAAAATGGTCTGTTTGTTTTGTAATTAAGCACAAAGCTACATAATGAGCTATCTGTGCTCTGCCCACCACGGGTATCGAAACCCGGATTCTGGCGTTGTAAGTCCGCAGACATACCGCTGTGCCCCTGGGGGGCGGTAAAAGGGTATGTAATTCCTGTTTGTATGGCTAGGCTATTGTTTTTATACAAGGATAAAAAACTAAAAGCAGCTAACACTTTTCTTTCTTATTACCCTTTCATTTTCCGATTTTCTTACTAGAAGTTGTATTTCCTTACTACAAATGTTTTTGTTTCTAGCGGTATTTTTAGTTCTTTTTAGTTTAGGTATAAAATGTTTATTTATTAATACTGGACCTTCTTTGTAATTTACATTAATGTCCAGATGTTTCACTCACTTTCTTCACTTGTTTCAACCATTTGTTTTTAAGTTGTCTGTTCGAATTTTAAATGATAGTTGGTCTGGTTGCTTTCTTCATATATCCTCCATAACAGATTTTAATATATTCGTCTTTCATGTTGATATTAACAACCTTTGCAACTTTCTGAATAAATTGCTCTGATATTCTTTCTCCATACTTCTGGTACTCCTTGAATTTCAATATTCATATTTCGCGAGTACTGTTTAAGGTCAATTACTTTTTGAATTCCTATTACGTGTTTTTTTTTGTTTTTTTGTAATACAAGGTCCCGATTTTGCTTTCAATTTCCTTAATGTTGACCATTATTTCTGAAATCATTTTTTTTTATAAATTCATCAACTTTATCTGAATAAAATTTGATATTGCTCATTTAAATTTTACATTCGGAAATTTCTTGTCTAATTTCATTATACGTTCAGTTTATTTCCAATATTTACGTTTTTATTTTGCGGAAGTATTCAAACATTTTGCCCTCATTAATGTTATTAAGTCCTCCCAAACTTCCACTTGCTTCACTTAATATTATATAACATTCAAACATCCACTGGCTAAGAGCTGTTCTGTTGAGCTGAAAATATACGATCCTGTTTTTTTATCTTTACACACTGTGAGCATTATAATGCTTTTTCTTTTCTCTACTTAACTTTTTTACCTCAATTACTATTACGCAGGAATAATGATAATATAACTCACAGCCATTAAAACATCATAGTTAATCATTTGAATCACTTATTATTTTGCCACACGTGCTAATGCAAGCTACATCTGTAAATAGGTTTAACGCCAGTTAATAATTGGTTGTTTTATTATTAACTTCTTCAAAAAATCTTAATGCTGATTATTGAGAGGTTATTTTACGAGATTCTACGGATATTTTTAGATATTATAAAGACAGATCCATGTTCTGTTGAAACATGTAGTATATTATACCATCAATAGAACTCTTCCATATGCTTGAAAATCGTTGCTTGTCTACTTATTAATTATGAGGTATTAATAGATTTTAGTTTTACATTTGAACAGTATTTGTTCAATAATAGGTTGATAGAACGTGACTTGAAGCGTTTGGTTGTGTATCTAATGTTCTGAGACTCGAGTTTGTTTGTTTTTTGAATTTCGCGCAAAGCTACACGAGGGCTATCTGCGCTAGCCGTCCCTAATTTAGCAGTGTAAGACTAGGGGGAAGGCAGCTAGTCATCACCATCCACCGCCAACTCTTGGGCTACTCTTTTACCAACGAATAGTGGGATTGACCGTCACATTATAACGCCCCCACGGCTGAAAGGGCGAGCATGTTTGGTGTGACGGGGATTCGAACCCTCAGATTGCGAGTCGAGCGCCCTAACCACCTGGCCATGCCGGGCCTGAGACTCGAGACGGGAGTCGCTGAATACTTTTTCACACTTTCATCGTTATAAAAGTGACAAGCAATCCTATTAATTTGTTCAAAGAGCCTGACGAAATCCTCTTGAGGATGACTTCTGCTGGATGGCTAGACTCCCTTTGATTGTGTCTTACTGGGTCGTGCAGTCAACGTTCGCATAGTATGCCGTTTAAATTGGAAATTTATAAACTCGTCACAACGAAACTAAGGGCCCTGCATTAATAATTGAAATTCACTATTACAATATACTTTTTAAAGGTTAAACCAATATCAGGAGATTAACATCTCTAATCAGTAAATAGAGTTATACTGAAGCAAAGTAAATACTGATCAAGCCTCATTATGGATCTGATCTCTCTTTCCTCAGTGGTGAGAGGTGAAGAAAACGTCAGTTCTAGTTTCACCTGGAAAGCTAAGTGGCCTCAACCTATAGGTTCACTAAAAAGCTAAGTAGTCTCAAACTGTAGGTCCACTAAAATGCTAAGTAGTCTCAACCTACAGATCCACTAAAAAGCTAAGTAGTCTCAAGCTATAGGTCCACTAAAATGATAAGTAACCTCAACCTATAGGTTCACTAAAAACCTAAATAGCCTCAACCTATAGGTCCACTAAAAATCTATGTGGCCTCAACCTATAGGTTCACTAAAATACTAAGTGGCTTCAACCTATAGGTTCACTAAAATGCTAAGTAGCCTCAACCTATAGATCCACTAAAAAGCTAAGTGGCCTCAACCTATAGGTTGACTAAAAGCTAAGTGACCTCAACCTATACATCCACTAAAATGTTAAGTATTCTCAACCTATAGGTTCACTAAAAAGCTAAGTGACCTCAACCTATAGATCCACTAAAATGCTAAGTAGCTTCAACCTATAGGTTCACTAAAAGCTAAGTGGTCTCAACCTATAGGTTCACTAAAATACTAAGTGGCCTCAACCTATAGGTCCACTAAAAAGCTAAGTGGCCTCAACCTATAGGTCCACTAAAAAGCTAAGTGGCCTCAACCTGTAGGTTCACTAAAATGCTAAGTGGCCTCAACCTATAGGTTCACTAAAATGCTAAGTAGCCTCAACCTATAGATCCACTAAAATACTAAGTGGCCTCAACCTATAGGTCCACTAAAAAGCTAAGTAGCCTCAACCTATAGGTCCGCTGAAAAGCTAAGTAGCCTCAGCCTCTCTGTCGTAATGACAGAGTAAAAAGGCTTGTGTGAGGGGGGGGGGAATTACTTGTTCAAAAACAACACTAACTCCCTTTTCCAAATCCAAATGCTGCAAGTCTCAGCTGGACATTGTAAATAGATTTGCCACTTCATGAGTTTGAATGCTTCTTTGTCACAATTAAAGTATTTTATTTTGCGCATCGCGTTTTCTTTTTCTGAAGAAGTTCATGGAATGTCTGTTTTTATTAACTAGTATATATATATATATAGTATGGTCGGCTAGTAAACAATAGTTTTTTATCTCTCTTTCTCAGGAATTTGAAGAATCTCTGCTTATTGCAGACTTAGATGAAACAGTAAATAGGTTTAATCTGTGGCGCCATCTTCTTCCTCGTGTTGAAATATTCTTCGGTAAGTCTCTTTAGTTGTGACTCGTATGTTTAGATATATCCTAACCTAATTTTTACAACGTTTAATAGATTCAGTTATTTGTTGTGTGTATTTAATTTTCAGATAATTTTTCTCTGTATTATGAAGAACTATAAAGAAGAGTTTTTTTTAAAGAATTGTGATTTACCTTCATCTATCTTGAGGGACTCGTGTAATAAAAATAATAAAGTGTGTGTATGGGTGGGGGAGGCTAATAAGTACTTTTAGTTAGTTTGAAATTAATTTCATGTTATAATTCTGTTACAGCAACTTGGGTGTTAAGCACAAAGTTACATAATGGGCTATCTGTACTATGTCAAGCGTGAGTGTAAAAACTGAGTTTAAACGTTTAAGTCCTTAGACTTACCTCTGAACTACTTGTGTTTGTTTGTTTGAAGTTAAGCACAAAGCTACACAATGGGCTATCTGTGCTCTGCCCACCACGGGTATCGAAACCCGGTTTCTAGCGTTGTAAGTCCGCAGAATACCGCTGTGCCACTAGGGGGGGGGGCAACTACTGCTGTTATAACGATAAGTGAGATTTCGGTTCAATAAGAATATTTTAACTTGCCTTTCGTTCTTTGTTAAATCGTTCGCTTCTCTGATATAAACGTTAGCTTTCTGTTTCCATTACAGCTATGAAGAGCTGCAACAACAATGTTATTCGAAGACTGATGGCTACGCTAGGTTGTAGTTTTGATTCTGCTAGTAAGGTAAGCTATTTATGTACATCAGTAATTTTACACTTAAATGATATAATTTATTTGATGATAAATACAGACATTTCTTGCAGAGTTAATAATGGCATTTGATCATACCTTACGTCATTAGTTGCTATAGTAACACATCCTAACAACAGAAGTATGGGTGTTGATAGCAGGTGGAGTAATATGTGACAGACTTTTAAGTAACTTTTGGCGAAAGTAAAAGAGAAGTCAGAAGGAAACATGCAGATTAAACAATGTAATTTAAACGTTAAAGTTAGAGAAAAATGTATAGGAGGAAAAAATTTGATTTTAAAGTTGAGCACTAGGTAACAATCACGGGGATGAGTGCGCTTGCTGGAGGTAAAAATGTATATATATATATATGAGTGTGAGTGTGTGTGTCTATGTATATATAGATAGAGGGGAGATAGAGTAAATGTGAGTAAAGGTTATAAAGTTTGTTTGTTCGATTGTTTTCAATTTTGCACAAAGCTGTTCGAGGGCTATCGGTGCCCGAAATTTTAAAGTGATAGACAAGAGAGAGGTAATTAATCAGCACCATCCACCACCAACTTCTCGGGCTACTATTTACCAACGACTAGTCGGATTATAAAGTCCAAAAGGGCGAGCATGTTCAGTGTTGGGACTCGATCCTGCGACCCGCAGGTTGCAAGTCCAGTGACCTAACCACCGTTCATGCTAGGCCCAAACAGCTACTTCAGTAATGGTAATAACAGGTTACTAAAAGAAGATGTTATCTTGATTATGAGATGCAGAAACCACTTGGAACAAAAAATGGAGAATAACAGTTAGCTATGCGAGTCTTAAATAACTAATATAGTTTGTGGTTAAAATAATTATATTGTGTGTCTGCACTTGTATATTGTTTGTGTGAACGAGTAGAACAGCTTATTTCTCCCCAGACACAGCGTATGTGGAAAACCAATAATTCTTTTTTTTGTTGTTGTTGTTTTTCAATGAACGAGAGGGATGTATGTTGGATCATTACGTGGGTACAGGTGTAGTGTTTGGTAAAAAACAACAAAAATACACGAATATAATTTGTTTTTAATGTGCTAAGGACAAGTAATTTTCAGTCATCTTACCTATGTCTAAAATGTTTTACAATGTTCCTAATTAATATGTCTGTCGTTCTGTGTCAGGTTTTGTAAGGCCGGATTCTTTACAGTAGGTGTCTATGACTTGTTGGTGATAAGTTTCAGATATAAACAAGCATCAACACAGTCTGCTTGTTTTAAAATAATATTTTGAAAAACAAATGTTCAAATATTCGCTACACTGTTGTTTACCATAGTTGTATCCAAAGCTGGTTCAGTTACTTTAGAACACAATTGACAAGATGATTTGTCTTCCGTACCCTATTATTACAATACAGTTTGTGATAACTTCACTTTAAAAATCGCCACTGTAGAATCTTTATCGTTTAACTCACCATCGCGCAATGTAGAACTTGAACTAAACAATGATTTTTCGATGCGTACTCGTACCCCAACAGAAATCTAGAAAATTCCACGCAATAGTAGATATTCTGGTGCAATAATACTCAATTAACCCAACGAGAAACTCAACGTTCTAGCAAAATGACGCAATAAACTCACTATTGTCAACAATCTGTAATTCATAAAAAGTAAACTACAAAACACGCTATACATAAATTATCTAAATTATAACGCTCACACTAAACTTAAATTGAAACAATCGTGTATATCTAACATTCTGTAACGATTAAACTATCAGGCATATAACGATTAACGATAACGATTTTGTAGACGTACATATTTTTAACTACATCATAAATAATCTCGTTATGTCTTATGCTGTATTAATTTATCTTACTCTGTACAGCTTACATATATCTTAGTGTAATATTTAACGGTAACTAAGCCAAAAATGAAGTTGTTGTTTTGTTTTGTTTTTGTCTGACCTTTGATCAAAGAGTGATGCTTAGATTAATTCTTTCCACGATCTTTCAGTGTGAAATTCAGCAACTGCTAAATATTGGAGTCAAGCCATCTAAGATCATTTTTGCAAACATTGTGAAATTCCGAACGCACATAAAGTTTGCTGCGTCCGTGGGCGTCCACTTGATGACGTTTGACTGTGAGGAAGAATTGCTGAAAATTCATGAGTGTGATTCGGAAGCAAGGTATGTTTAGTTTTCCACCAGTTTTTCTGGAGTACATCGCCGAACTAGTATTCATATCTTACGAAGTTTAGAATATTAACAGACATGCTTGTTTATTTACTTGTTTCTGGTAGTTTCGCCAACCTAAACCAGAACTATGTGCACTATCAGTCACTATTTTAGACTGATAGGGCCAATTCTCGAGCAGTTCTTTATATAATATGTGATAATGAATACAAAATACATTACTGTGATCCAGATGAGGAATAAATTGATAAAGGACAACTAATTAATGGATAACTTGAGAACTGGTTACTTCCTTTAATTGAGAATCCTTTGGCTTTAGGTAATAAAACTTGGAGCACAGTTATGACCAGTTTAAACAGGAGAGTATTGTGTTATTGTTTTCAAGTCTCTTAAGAGTCGATAAAAACCAAGATTGAGTTTAAAACCAGCTGTTTCTGCTTTAAAATTAGTTTTGGTGAGAATTGCAATAAAATAGACACACAACTAAGAAAATTGAATTTTTCAGCGAATGATCATGAAAACGCATGCAAAATAAACAACGAAAAGTGAATATCCAGCATGACGTCGCATATATGAGGAAATGTATTATGTCGTAATCAAAACAGTTGCGAGTATGAAAGTTCTGAAGTTAATTATGTATTGAAGAGGGTAATCTGAAATAAGGAAATGTGTAATGAGTTTACCCCTAATAATTTAGCATTAACTGAAGATAAAATTATTTAAGTACTCACATTAAAAATGATATTGCACATACACGATTTTTTTTAAAATCACCATAAAAACGCTACATAATATTGTTTGATTTAAAAAAAAACTGAAACCTAAAATATTGTTGACTTTATATATTATTCCAGATTAGTTTTACGGATTCAGCCTCCGTTAGAGAATTGTGTATTTCCGTTTAGAAATGGGTATGGCTGTAACCAAGAGGAAGCCTGTCGTCTAGTACAAAAGGCACGTGACCTCAACATGATTGTCGAGGGAATATCGTAAGTACAACATGTTATTGAGTCATTAGTGTAAGTCAGACAATTGATTGTAGTGAACATGCTGTGCGTAACCGGTTCCAAAATACTTGGATTAATTCTTCGATAGATTGTTTAGGCAGAGTACTCATTATGAAACTTTGTTGAATGGATGGCAACTGCCTGTTGTAGAAACACAAGTGTAGAGGACGTTTTGATCGCCTTTCTTCTTCGGATCACTTTGTAACAACAATATCTGGCAGGAATTTCCTCCGAGGTGAAAACTCTGAGATTACTGGGGGGTGTTCAGAAGCTTTAGGATCTCTTCACCCCGTGATGGTTGTGTGGCATAAGAACATTGTGTTGATATGGCAGATTTGGAGATACTTCAAGCAGTAAGGAGGAGTCCAGAGAGCCACGGATAAGAGAGATCCAGATTTCGCAAAAGAAACAACCCCTGTGGGACAAAGGGTCCTTCAGGGCAACAGGAATCTATAAATCCAAAGCTGGAGAATTTTGCTGTGGGGGGGGGGGCAGTCAGCATTCTCCAAACTATACAAATCATATCATACACTTGAAATCTATATTAAATTGGATGTCCCCTACAGCTTAAAACTGACATACTTTACCCTAATATATTATCTTCAATATATGTAAGTAAATACTTGTATTACACTTTATAATTCCATCATGTTTACAATCAAAATAAGCTGTTCAGTTAGTGTACAATTATTAGATACTGTGCAGTTAGTTATCATCACCCACCACCAACTCTTGGGCTACTCTTTTACCAACGAATAGTGGAATTGACCGCACATTATAACGCCCCAACGGCTGAAAGGGCGAGCATGCTTGATGGGACGGAGATTCGAACTCACGACCCTCAGATTGTGAGTCCAGCGCCCTAACCACCTGGTCATGCCGGGCCCAAACTTAAAGGAGTTCGTCAGATGTATATGCTAAAGTAAGGGCACAAAGAGATGCATTCAAAGTTCAAATCCCTTTATCGCTTAATTCTAACTCTGTATCCAAACTTCAGATCCATTTATCACTTGAGTTTTAACTCTGCTAGTAACATCTTGTTCTTGAGAACGCTCCTTTTCCATCACAGTTGATTAATGGTGTTGTTGGTTGAAGAAGATCAAGGTAAGTGGAATCGCTTTACTGTTGATGTTTTAGGAAGATAGTTTCACACATGCTCTTTTTTGTTTTCATTTCGCATATTATTTGTACGTACTGTATATTGTATGTGTTATTACTTTACATATTGTGCTACATGTACTATGCATATTGAATTATATATGTAATTGTATGCTCTAACTGTATGTTCGGTTACGTACTTTCCACATAAATGTGCACCTATTACACACCATGCATAGCCATATACAAGCGATATTATACATATATAGTTTGTAAAATGTGAGAGGACGAGTTGTTGTGACAATAAGCCATGCAATATCGCTTTGAGCCGGGTCAGCGTTAAAAGGCTTCATGTGCAGCACCTGGTGGCACAAGGTTTTGTTTCTTTGTGTTAGCATTCTTCGCTCTCTCTACCGCGGGGAATCGAACCCCATTTAAGCGTTTTAAGTCTGGAGGACAGATAACACAAAATAATTCAAACATAGATGTGAGAATGCAACAAGAATTTCGATCTTTTACTTGTGTTGATTGCAAGCTTCCACCTTATTCGTAAAATTAACCTGAGTACTGATGGTAAAGTAAAAATGCCCAAATAAACAGCAAATAACGTAACGTCTTGTAGCCATAATATAAGAATGAACTGTGTACGCAGTTTACTAACAAGTGGCCAACAGCCTAGTTACACTACGTAGATAAACGGACTAATGGAGAAGTGTTTAGAAACATCATATTTAAGAAAAACCCATGAAAATCGTTTAAGAAAGGGTAAGGGAGTCTCGAAAACAATGTTGTTTATTCTTGTTTTTCAGTCAGTGTCTTTAGTCCAATACGTACAACCAAGCTATTTTGTAATTTCAAACATAACAAAGCATATGAGGGCATAAATTTTGACAAATCAACAGCTAGGTAAAAGTTGTTTCATTATGGTTGAATAACAAAACTAATTTTGTTTTGGGTGAAGTTTTGTTTTGCAGTTGGAAATAATAGTATATAGTTGTACTCTCTCATTGATTTTATGTAAGTATATATATATATATATATATGTATATATATACATAAGGTCGAATAAATTCCACAATATACATGTTGTATCTTGAGAGTTTATAAAATATTTATTTATTAATATTTTAGTTTTCTAACACCTATATGGTTTTATCTATGTTTCACATAGTTTTCACGTAGGTTTCATGTGCAAGGATCCCAAGTGTTACGTAGAAGCAATAAAAACAGCTAGATGGGTGTTTGACGAAGTCTCCAAGATGGGAGTGAAGATGACTTTATTAGACATTGGTGGTGGATACCCCGGCTCTAGAACTAGTCTTAATTGTTTCAGAGAAGTACGTTATTGTATATTGTTTATCACCCTAGCTAAGTGTTAAGCCTATCAACAACAATTATTGTAGTTTATTGAAATATAAATACTTACATCTTAACGAGTGAGACAATGTAAGAAACGTGTTGCTATTAATAACTAAATGTTGTTCTTCTCCACCAAATGACCTTCAACTATGAGGAGAAAACAAAACATTATTTACGTTAGAGCTAACAGA